GGATTATCGAGGAAGCAAGCTTGTACTTGTTCTAGGTATCGACTGGCTTACTTATTTTACGTTTAAGTAGGATTTCGTTCAATGGAAACGTAAGGACTATTTATATGATTGCGAGAAAATTCAATTATCATTCCTTCATCACCTTAACGAAATAGGGTAAATACATTTCAAATATATGATCTACTGGTGCTCTCAAATCCTACTTATAAACGAAATATTGCTTCAGTACTGCCTCAAGGCCTTTTATTATTAGAATAAGGAACTATTTTCGCAGATTTTAGATGTTCCTAACAGCTGGTTAGACTTAACAACGTGTATGGTCATCATACTACTTTCCGCAATCCATTTTCATAATTTCCCCTATTTGAGTGGATAAACCTTTCCTCACCGTCCCACAATACCGTGATCAAGGGTGCAGGTAAAATGACAATTATTGATGTATTCTTTTAGTACTGAGTTAGAAATATACTCTCATTGAACTAAAGCTGATTAGGGAATGAGCTATTCAGGTTATTTTAAGGAGTAAATAAAATTGTGTAACTGGTCAGGTGTTAAGGAATAAATTTATTTCCCTTGTCTTTTCAATTATTATTCTTTCTCCTTAATAAGTCATTCTTAGCAAGACTTGCCTTCTTTCCACTTGACTCCCTTAGTTTTCAAGTTAATATTTTCTGATAATCATTATCCAGAACGATTTGTCTTAAAACAGTCAGCTTCTTTGTACGAGCACATATAATTTTTTTATTTCTTATTTTCGTGTAAGTACAAACAGGCTCTTACGCTGCCGTCTAGAATAAGTTTCAGTTCTATGATGCCAAACTTGTCCTACTTTATATATTACATATTCTTTAACTAAATACAATAAAAATGATTCATTGAAAGTCTCCATGCTGCCTTAATTTTGCCTTTCTAATTATCCTTTTGCTTGTTTACATATAATTATTTGTCCGATTTTCATTTCCTACTTCCTTCTGACTTTGTACTTTTCTATTTTCTGTCTGCTTATGTCCACATCTATTTCTCTAGTATTTTTGTGTTATTCATCTGTCTTTATTTGTATGCTTATCAATATTCCAAGCATATTCTGTCCATAACCGAGAGTTTCAAATACCTAACCTCGTTGTTTGGTTAAATATGGCATTGTGTTCATGTCATTCTGAGGCATTCGCATGTTCTGCCCACCAGAGTAAAATGCAAAAATGGATCAAGTGTGCGATTGCCTGGCCACAACCGGTTTCGTCTTTATGTCGAGCAACCAGCTTTTCATGTATTTGCAGCGATACTAAACTCAAACTGTTCTGTTATGGCGGAGATTCCTTACGAAGTTATATCATTATATCACTGAAATATTGACATATTACTATATTTGGAACTATGTTCATTCTGAGAAGAAAGACTTGGCTAGGTATGGCAGCTAATCTATGAAAACCTTGCGAAAATTGTCATAGCAATAGCTCTTACAACCGAATGTAGGTAATTTTCTGAAGATAGGTGTCATCTTAATACCTCTGTTTACCTAGCTTCATAAATATAACCTCAAACAAAGGGATAACTCGTAATGATATTTGTAGGTGGCTAATAAGTCCATTGATGGTGTACGATGTAATTAATTCATATGCTGTTATATATATGCTTATATAGGAAGCACTAGGATGAGGAATCAATCAAGACTTAACAAGATTTTATCAATTTTGGGCTTCTTATTTTCCGTACCTATTTAGCTGATTAGCTGCTTTGTCCGTAGAGTGTCTTGCACATCGTTTTATTTTTCATCTCCTCTTACAATTTCCACTTGTTTTTTCTACATTTACGTGTTTTTGCACCCCTCCACTGACCAGCTACTATGCCCGAAAACTATCAACTATATTATTGCTTCACTCGATTCGCTATCGAGCTCAACGAGCCTCCGCCTATCGATTCAGTAAGTCGTGGCTGCATACCAATCACGGACAGTCGACTGAGACCCGACCAACGGTTGCTCGAAGAGGGTCAGGTGGACGAAGCAGAAATGGTAAAGATGCAGATAGAACAGGCTCAGCGGGATCGCATCAAGCCGCAACAAGCCTCTTCGATCACAGAACCTGCTGATGCTCGGGGTGGAGAAACAAATAGGAAGGACCTGGACGAGCCGGACGCGTCTTGTGGAAATTCCAACTGGCTAAGCAGAACAGATTGCTCCAATCACTCTAGCGTCTTGGATGCCGATATCGAGTGGAAGCCAAGATGGTTTGTGTAAGCTTAGAACAAAGAAATTTAATTTGAACTTTCCATACATGTATAAGTGCACATTCACACATATTTATTTATTTCTGTGTAAAAATAATTACCTTTTCCCAACGGGCTGATGATTCGTTTCCCGAACAAATCTTTGGACTCAGCTGCACTGATTCTTTTCATCTTGCACTCTTTGTTACTTTCATTTTAGCTCCCTAATCATAATTTTCAGCATAAGAAAATACAGAATGGACTTACCACGATATACGCTGCATTGCTACCTTAAGGCATCGCCACTTAATACATACTTCTATTCCCCACTACTGCCATCAAGAAATTCCCTTCCTTTAAGACCTGAATATTTGAAAGTTTACTGGAAGAGTTTATTTGGATAGCATTGCTAACCGTAGGAAAGACTTGAAATGAAAGTGAGCTCAACAATTAAAAAATAACAGATTTCTTTAAACTCAATTTTTCTTCACATATAAGACCCTTGAGATAATCTTTAGAACATGTGTTGCCAACTGCCAACCTATGATGCTGACATATTATTGTGGAATGGTACAGAAGTTATAAGTCCCAAGTAAGCTAAAGGTTGACTATGAGTAATTTTGCTAGATACATGTTTGCAATAGAAAGGGTGAAGAAAAGCCTACTTATCATAGTGGAGATTTGGTAGTTCAGTCTAAGTGAGGCTAGGAAAAGTCTACTAAAATGTTTATACAACATATTTAGGACTTCTTATAGGTGCCAGAAGTTTAGGGGATTTGGGATCTGAGAATTAACATTTAGCCTACCAGATCCGCCCGGATTAGTTGTGTTATAAAAGGAGAAGCTAGTAATTTGACAGGATGTGGTTCAGTACATTTATTCGCTCTCCTAGCTAACAATAGCATCTAGAATGCCGATGAATCATGATCGAATGTTTCATATCGTCTGCACCATTCCAGAATAACACTTAACTAATGCAGTCTATGGTACGCTTTCAAAAGTGTCCCAGTGATCATGACAATTTTTTAATAAACTAAATTAGACGATAATAGGGCAGTGTGAATGCTTCAAAACAAGGTACGATGGTCGTTTGCCAGACAAAGACGTGTGTAAAAGTCCCACAGCACCACTGCGAGTGTGTAAGTCCGGACATTTCTCACTTTAAAGGAGATCTCAAAGCCCTTCAGTATATGCTGAAATGTATTCTGATCTTTTTACTAATCATAAAAATGTACCACGTCCAAAATCCAACTCTGGAAATTATCATGTATACTATGAACACCGAACTAGGTGCGTTCCTATAATTCTTCTTATCAATATGACCAAGCTTCGAAAACAAGGTCAGATAACTTCTATAAAAATCTAAATTTCGCGTTTACTGCATTTAGAGCTTATTTTCTACAAGAGAAACAATGAAAAAAGTGATTCATTTAAATCAAATTACACTTCATATACTGACAGAACATTCTGCAATTTTTGTCAAAAAATGGGTAGTCAAGGCCCTGTAAAACAGGTCACTTAAATATGGATATATATGCGAAGCCATGAAAATGATCAGATAAGATGAATTCTGAAAAGTTGAATTAGAAGTTGTTTAACCTTGTTTTTGCATCTTGGTCATATTGGTAGGAAGACTTAGAGGAACGCACTTAGTCTGGAGTCCATTGTATGCATAATCATTTTCAAAGTCGGACCGTGGACGTGGTACATTCCCAAACGTTTCGCCGGCATCGTATTCGGCTTCTTCAGTGCGTCTTTTCATTCTGAACAACACATAACAACTCGTCAAAGAAACAAGTGAAGCCGATTCTCTGACCAATTGTCTGTGAAACAATCGTGATATCTCTCCTTCTGTCCTGGGCTAATCACCAATCCTGTATCCTCGAGTCACCATTGTTTACTTGCTTATTTAAATGTGATATGGTGCCTTTTTGACGAGTTGTTGTGTGGTGCTAAGAATGGCGAGACTTACTGACGATGCCGACTCCGATGCCGGCGAAACGTCTGGGAATGTACCCCATCCACGGCCCGACTCTGGTGATATGGTGTTCCCTTTTGAGCGGCACGTCCATGGTCCGACTCTGGAAATGATCATGCATACTATGGACTCCGGACAAGTTGCGTTCCTCTAAGTCCTCTTGCCAACATGCTCAAGGTCAAACAACTTATATACAAAGAAATAAGACTGCGACCACACAAAAGGCCACACCCACTTGGTCTTCATACCTTTGATAAAAGTTTAATTATTCTGTCTTTTCGATTAGCCTTGTCCGAATCTATGGTTTTTGCTAGATACCTCTGAACAGGCTATAACAGGAAAATTTGCTTGAATTCTAATGTTCAGAATTTATTTTGATCCATAACCTTGTTTATAAAAAATTCGCAAAGACCAATAAACCGGTCGAAAACCTAGTTGACACCAGTTTTACAAAAGATTATGACATATTTCATATTTTCTTGCCTTCCATTTTGGCTTCATGCTTATTGGTTAGCTTAGGTAGACGATATTTCGTATTGACAAACGCCAATTTACTCAATAGAAGGTTTCATTTTATCCTTTTATTTAATCTTACTTGCTTTATTAGAAGAGCACTTTGAAACTCATATTGAATCATAATTGATGAGTTGAAAGATCGATCCCCCCGAGTTGCATGACAAGCATGACGGCTTTAAAATGTGATTAAGAGTTTTCCGATTCACTTGTCTTGTGCAGAGTTTGGTATCGTTGGTAAAACTTGTGTTCGATAGAACCGAGTGATTGTGCGGCTGATGTGTTTACTCCTGAGCCCACACTTTTTTTTTAAAGAGATGCTAGGGTTCAAAGTATCCCTTGAGCTCGCTTAATTTAAATTCAATGAACTCTTGAACAGCAAGGTTGTTTTTTCCTTCCTCAAATGTACCGAAAAGAATTCAATTTTTATTCCTTTCAGTAATAAGTATTTTCCTATGATGCTGCTTATTTTATAAATCATAATATTTAACTGAAGTTTTGACAGCCAACGTCCTCTTCTTGTATGCAGTCATGCTAGCAACCAGCTCCTTGATGTCACCCGCATAAAATGTGCTCATGCCTTGGATGAAACCTCATTGCAAACATTGGTGACATGCTTCGGCATTTTGGAGCTGTTTTATCACCGACCGACAATTGCGCTTTGTTGATATTTCCATCAGCATCATTTTATTGACGTGT